CCAACCTCTCTCCCCTCGCACTTGAATTTTCTCAACGATGTGAAGCCCGCGAAACGGGAGAAAATCACTCATCAAAAAATTTCCCTGGCCAGATACATTCCTCTCCACCCAACGACCAAGTACGAGCCCCCTCTGGAGATTTTCTAACGTGCGTGTTGAGCATGTGAAAGGGTTTTGTCATCGACTTATGCTTGAAAATTATAGTCGTAGAATTCCAGCTTATTTCCAAGTTCATGTGCATTAATATGACAGGCTTGTCTATGAGACCATCCGTGCCGTGGTAGTCTGGCTAGAACATCGTGGAGGATTCCCCATGAGAGGGAACGCAACGCCGTCGTTCATCAGTGGGAGATCAATTGGTATAGTGAGGACCCTTAATTGTTGATTTTTGGCGTTTCAAGCACCCTATATATCTCCTTGGTCAGCGGTTACTCAGTTTTACAGCTTTATTAATCTGAAAGGCTCGATGGGATGACAATTCAAACCCATTCCATTATCGAATGTAGAAGGGAGGGGTTGTGCATTGAAAATTTCCTCCTCGGTATAAAGTGCCTTAAGTAGAATAGTGTGCTCCAATGCACCACCGCAATTTATCGCGGCCGCGGCGCGGCCTATTGCATTTGTGTCGATTACTGTGAACAAAATCGTTAAGAATTTTAATTCAATTGTTCAATTAATTTGTGGTGATGTTTTGTTGCGCGTGTTTTTATTTCTCTACATCCTCTTGATGACACGGGTTGCAATACTATGAAGCATGACATTTAGTCTATACTTGTAGAAGGTCGCATGGCCCACATGGTTTTTTTTAATCTTTTCGTATCCGTGACTAAGCTCTGTTCTTGTTGCTTGTGTTGTAACATTGAAATTTCATGATTGCCTTGGTTCGATGTGGGACGAAAAACATATACTTTGCTTTTGTAGGTGAAAGATCGGAAGATGTCAAGTGGAAAGCGACGGAACCCACTTGGACTTAGTCTTCCGCCCACAGTGAACGAAAACGAAAAGGAGGATGGCACGAAAGAGGTAGCTATTTATTATTCTTGAACATCTTCACCGTTTACATGGTATCCAGGAAGCTTTTACCCATAATCAGAGTTCCCTTGGAAAAATTGCTCGAGTTGGTCAAGTGGTGATAATGCTTTCATCTGTGGAATAATCATCAAGTTTCCAATGGTAGAATAAAAAAGCAAGAGAAACAAATTATTGGGGAAATGCAGAAAAAATCATGGAAACTTGGAAATTCACCTAGTTGGCCTCTGCACAATTTGATGAGGTGTACCTTAATTTCCTCAAATCAAGTGCCCTTGCTAGCTCCTGTTCGGTCATATGGATCCGATACTTTCCTAATCGTAGGAGTACGGAGTAAGTCAGCTATTCGATGCAGTAATTCTTGATTTCGTCCAAACGAAGCGGGCATTCCTGTAAGTTCAACATTTCATTGCAATGCGCTAAGTGCATTCAAACCGAGGGGGGTGGGGGTGCACTTTTGCTACTTCCCATCGACGTGTCGAGCTATCAAGTGAAGACGTGTGAAATATTTGAAGCCACGAAACGATACAAGCCAAAGTTTGTAGAAATCGCCTTTCAACTATTGTAAAGTAATTATATGCCACACAAATACCATTTACCATGGTGGCTCGACGAGCCTGCTCCAGCTTCACAAGAGGTCACACGTGAAACTGGTAGACCGGAACTAGTGAAGCAGCGCAAGTGCAAAAAGCCCCGCGTTACCGAACTGCTCCCTCCAACTCACTAATTATTTCTCTAAAGGTCCGCTTGTGATCCACTTTTGACCCATGCTCAGAGATAGCTTTTAACGAAATAGTGGGGCAAATGACTCCACTGTCCATGGCCTATCAAGATCAGAGCTTCATGGGACCTCTTGAGGCCTATCTGCCTGCAAGAGGAGGTCCCTGTTTGGGAAACAGAAGCTCTTTGGGGCTCACAGCTCTAAAACTATCCGTTTTAAAATGATTTTCTAAGTAAAAATTTCAAGGATCTTAGTTCTACCAGCCATACATTCTTTGTAATGAGTGACTGCCATTATTTAGGAAGAAACTGCCGCGCAAGTTAGTCTCGATGAACAGTTGAAACGATTAGGTCTTACGGAACCGCAGAAGCAACGAATGAGTGAATGGATACAAGTGAAGGAGGCCATAAAGGTTTGTTACTCAAACTAAAACTTTATTGTCTGTGCTTTCCCCGTTATAGTTGCAAAAGCGTTGCATTCCATTCTCCGTTATATACGTCTTCGTTGCCGAACACATCCTGTAGAAAAGTGTTACCGTGGTGCTGTTCTTCTATGTGGGTAATTATTGGTGAACGGTAGATATAAGCTCCTCCTCCTCATCTTCTATCCAATCAACTTCCACACAAAGTAGCATAAAATGGTGTCCAACCCGGCCTCTACCATGTCCAGTGCACCTCCTGATGTACAGAGAAAAATTTTGCAATATACAACTCCGTTCAAAACTAGCCCGTACTGTACGAACCCGCCTCCCCCCTTTTTCCATCGCAAATCCTATGCACCGTCATTCTGACTTGTTCCAACCTCCAGTCACCTTTCTGGAGTTTTTATTCAAGAATTCTTCAATTTTTCCAGAAATGAACGAGAAAAGTCATGAGCGAAAACACTTTACTCAGAGCAAAGGGCCCCTTCTCTTCAGCAGCCAAATACGAACTTCTCGCTGGAGATCTCCAACGATGTACCCTGACCCTGGTGCTATGGATGGGTACCTGGCATTGATGACTGCTCCGTTCTCAATCACAGGACCAATTCTAGCCGCGAATACTTGGGAAATAGGTTGGAGGGATACCCCATTCAACCCTTTCACGAATCAGGACAAACCAGTACGGATAAAGTTTGAGTAGTATCGTAGCTAACTTGTTTGGTCGTTTTCATTCGTTCCGTGTACTTTTATTGCAAGCCACTTCTTTCAAGGAACAAGAGCTATCCGAAGACATGCTGGAAAACGAAGGCGAACTTGGTCATGGCAACGGAGGCGTTGTCCATAAGGTTCTTTTTGATCTTTTTTTTCTCACGTGTTTTGAGAGTTATTTGCGTTGTTTTCCAATTGCAATTAGGAGTTACCAGTGCACCACCACCTCACTCAACACACCACCGTGGTTTTGGTCACGTGTTGACCTCCGCAAACGAAGGTACAACCTGAGAGTGGCCGCACAGCCAGGAACATGCATCGGTGCTTGTGTAGGTCATGCTCGTGATGTGGGTCGTTGCAGTAGACGAGACTTTCCATTTCCCATCCAATTATCCACAGAACGAGCGATCATGGCCTCATACCAGGTGCGCGGATAATCTTCGCAGACACTCTCACGACAACGAGACAGGTGTATTTCCAACCGGAGTTCGCTTGGTCCGAACCGCGAGCAAGTGGGTAACAGCCGGTCTTACTCCCCAATAGGAATTGTGGTTTTGTTTCGTCATCGACTACAGGGGGGGATAGTGCGTCAAAAATGAGAGGATCAACAATCAAAAAAAATTCTCGATGCCATTAAGACCCTCCTTCTCAGCGGACTGATAGCTTTCTTCCTATCTCCAATGAACCACAGGGTATGCGATTCACATAACGATTGTGTGCGCCGGCAGTTGCTGAACAATCAGTAATCTATACAGTAACTTAGTAAAAATAACCATTTCAGGTCATTCACAAGAAGAATGGTGTAACGATGGCTCGTAAATTAGTACATTTGGAAGTGAAACCTTCGGTACGACAACAAATCGTGAAAGGTATGTTCAATCACTATCATCCCATGACACGGTAGCACAGGTTTTAGTATTGTTTCATTCATTTGGCGAACTAAGAAACATGAGTATAACCCTGAAAGCTGAAACAACGTCAGCCCGCGCTGTTAAATACATTAGCGGCCGAAGTTCCCTTGCAAGAGCTCATGTTTTTCCCCCTCTTATCTTAATCTTCTGTCTGAACGTTCAATCTTTTTTCAAAAGAAAAGTGATTGCGCCTCTTTATTCGTTGAGTTTGGGGTATGTGCTGATAAGGTTGCACAGATACATACACTCTTTTTGCAGACTCTGTGCCCCTACCCTTTCAAATTTTTTTTCATTTTAGTGAATTCCGCAATTTTATTCATCTACGCATGACGCATATCCAGCGGTACTGGCGAACTGCATCGAAGTATTCGGTACTGGGGAAGGGGTACTATTCGTATTCTAAGTCAAAGTTAAGAATTTCTTTCTCTTGTTTCCGGCTTCAAGACGTGTGTCTCTGACGCCCCTTCACTCTTCAGCAGATATATCTCCAGGGAAAAAATTGCTGGGTAAGGGACGAATCTTGCGGAGGACTTACGGTAGGTTGCAACAGGGGATCATACCTCCTCCTGTGGAGGTTGCACTAGCACCACCATTTCCATACCCTGATAAAGTGCCTGACTCTCTTCACTTCCACCACCCTCTCTAGGCTGCTTTGTTTTCCTGAATGACGCCTTCAAATTCTCGACGATGCCTCCTTTCGACACCTGTAAATTCCTGTGAAGCCGTGCAGTGGCACTAGCGAGCTAGCAAAAAGTACCCTACTCTGCTCACAAAGCCGAATAGCGCCTATTTTTCCGCTCGCTATAGTTTTTTCTTTGGCTCCTTTTGCATTTAATTCCGCCCCAATCGCTTCGAGGTGCGCTATTTTTGGGGCTCTTTTGTCCAGAAAGTGTATTCCATTCTGCGCTGTGAAGTGAGGTTAACGATCACTCCACAGCAAATAGTTCATGTTTAAGAGCTCGCCGTTCTTCACAAGTGTAATAGCCCGTATATTGTTGGTTTTTATGGAGCCTTCATTGACAATAATAATAGTGATATATCGATTTGCATGGAGTATATGGACGGACTTTCACTGGACATTGTTATGAAAAAGGTTGTTCTTAAAAAAGGCCTAATTACTATTGCATAGTAACATTTTTACATCGTTGTACAGGTTGGCCGAATTCCCGAAAAGTTCGTCGGCAAAATTTCCGTGGCGGTAGTACGGGGTCTGGCTTATCTCAAGGACGAAATAAAGATACTTCACAGAGGTGAGTGTTCATCCTTATGTTGCGGTTCGATTTGCGAGGATAAAGTTGCGATTGCGAAATTTCGAGGCTCGATTTCATGAGTCATTTTTTTCTTGAGATCGAAAGAACATAGATGAGCGGTCTTTATAGTCACTATTATTCAGTATTTTCCACTTATTATTAAATATTTTCCATTTCCCTTGACTTTTGGCCTCGAGCAAATCCTTTTTTTTCAGATTTTCAATTCCGCGCATCTAAATGACTAAACTCTAAATTGTTTCATTTTTGTTATTTTTCCTTAGGCAATTCACTCTAATGAAGCGCGATAATTTTTATAAAATAGGTTATTTTAGACGTCAAACCATCGAATATGCTCGTCAATAGCAATGGTGAAATTAAGCTTTGTGACTTTGGTGTGTCTGGAATGCTAATCGATAGTATGGCGAATTCATTTGTTGGAACGAGGTCGTACATGGCGGTACGTGCCGTTTTCAGAAATTGAGATCTATTAGCATTTTTTCCGGCTTTTTTTCCACTTTTCATCTTGAAGCTGGAGTCTTTCGCAAGAATGCTGAGTTATAATCAAAAGCCTTGGCCCTAGGCGGGACCTGAACCTGTGCCTCACTGCTTCCGGACGAGTGCGCTATCCGTGACGCCACCAAGGCCGTTCTTACCCTCTAGCTTAGTATGGTGAGCAGGTCGTCGTAATCGTTAGACATCGGCAATGAACCGCGAGGTTGAAGGCTTTACCAGTTTTTGAAGTTGTTTTGTTATGATAGCCTTATTGCCAATGGCTGAACGGCTCGCCATGTTAAACATATGAGTACTGTGAGGCTGTGACCTAAAGGCCGTCACGCTGTGAGGCTAAGAGCGGCCTTGGTGGCGTAACCGATAGCACACTCGCCCGGAAAGCGTGTGGTATGGTTTGGAGTCCCGCCTGGAGTCAAGACTTCAGCATTTTCTTGATAACTTTCGGAGCGCATACTGCGGCATTAAAAACAGTTACCATGATAAAGCGGATGGGGGCTCTTCTCTGCATATTTTTGAAGTTGTTCTATGTTATGTATGTTCTTTCTCAATTAATATCACGTGTGACCACTATTTTGTAGAACTAGTCCAGTTCGTTATCTCGGAAGTTGTCCCACCTTCACGGCTCAACAGTGAGTGACAAGGGTGTCGCGTCCATTGTTGGCCACAAAAAAACCGCCGCCTTTAGCATCCTATCTCGGCCCAGATATGCCACTAGTTCTATACCTGTGGACACTAATATGACGTTTCGTGTTCATTGTGTGCACGACCCTATTATGTTTCTATGAGACTGTATCTGTCGTATCGCTCGTTTCCCTTTTCTCTCAAGTTAGCGCTTTGGAAATTAATAAGAGAATGATGAGGCACTGGTTAAGGTCTCAATCTCACGCGGGTCTCCGACACGTGCCTCATGCTTACCGGGCGAGTGCGCTGTTGTTTAAGCCATGAAGGCCGCCTCTTAACAGTCTCACTTATTACCTTAGTTTGCGGTCTAGGTTAGGGCGCTCTTGGTACCCTGTGAATACACATTTGAACTCCACTGTCCACGAATGCGCTACGTGCCTCTAAATTATCACATTCCAGCCGGAACGACTAACTGGATCCCATTACTCGATTCCAGTCGGATATCTGGTCCTTTGGATTGTCTCTGGTCGAACTTCTCATAGGACGTTATCCTGTTCCGTCACCATCGAAACATGAATATTCAGTTATGTTTGGTATTCCCGAGTCACAAGTTCAGTTGGCTGATGGGCGAGCCGACGTGAGTTATTTCTTGATGATTTCCAGCTCTAAAGTAATCATTTTTTGTCGATTTTTATTTACTGTTAGAGAAGGTCCTTATTACCAGACTCTGTTTCGAGTTTTTTTTTCAACTGATTTCATGACGGTTTTCTTTCGCGCATGCTCCATCAGCAGATTCAGGTACCTCCTTATCAGGCGTCAAACAATCCTGCTGCTATGGCGATTTTCGAAATGCTAGATTACATCGTTAATGAACCACCGCCGACGTTACCAAAAGGAGTGTTCAGGTAATTTTACCTAACATGCAATTTTATGCGTCAGCATGGATATTATGATAGAGAACTCGTAGTAAATGGCTCAAAGACACAGACTGCGATTACCTGATGGGTACAGTCCCCTTCCACCCCACGGTAGTACAATACGTATTCGTGCCAGGACACTTCGTATGCTGTGAATTCCAGGGAGTCGTACTTGGCCTGCGACGTCTTTTTTCAATTGTTGGTTTTCCCGTTTCATGCAACGCGTACCCCACCCCTTGCCTCCTCGGTATACGGTGGCGTTGCAAAACCGCTTTTCCTCCTGGTTGATCGGCCGTGTTTCACACATACCATTCCCTCCCCTCACGCTCAATAGTATTTTGGAGAAAGTTGATAGGTAGGTTGTGGAAGGGGGGGGTCATATTCTCTACGAAAATCTCCCCAACGCTTGGGCGCGCTCTGATCGGGAAGGGGAAAACCGTTTTTGCGCTTTTGATGAGCGGCAAGGCTGCCAGAGGTCTGCAGTGGAGGTCTTGTTCTGCCCACGGAAGTCAGTCTCCTCCCTTTCCTTTCGTTAAACGCTGTGTAGCTGCGCGGTCTCGTTCGTTTATCTACTCTTTCGCGATTTCGTCGTCTATTTCTCTTTGCTGGCTGTCTGCCTATTCGCCGTATACTCATACAATGCTTATATCCAACTAGGATCCTACCCAAGCCTTTTGAACAGTTTTTTTTGTTTTATTCTTCTGTAGTCCCTCAATACGCATCCTTTTGCTTGTGAACCCCACTACCCGCGGCTGCAAATTGCAGAATGTGTCTCTGGAGTTTTTTTTTCTACTCTCAATGCCATTTACACTAAATGAGATTGTGCATTCAGTCGTGCTAAATTGCAGCAGAACATTTCAGTGACGAAGCAGTCAATTTTGTGTCGAAATGTCTGAAAAAACTACCTGGCGAACGAGCGAATCTCAAGTCGTTATCGTCTGATCCATTTTTCATCAAATATGCTGATGTAGATGATAATGGCGAATTTGCAAGTTTTGTCACGGAGACCATATCAATTCAACCGGTACAATGAGACGTTGTGGTAAGCATGCACGAGCAGAATTCATCCGTGCTTTTTTCAAGTAGTGGCAAGGGGGGGGCACCTTCTCTTTTCTGGAGGTTTATCAGATTTTCTGCTAATTTTTCACTTAGTATTGACATAAGTTTTGTTTTTTCAGTGTCCTAGCGTCGCCAGATGGACGCCTGCTTACGGTGTCAATAGGAGGTGACCGAGTTCAAGGCTGACAGGAGAGCTCGGCTGATGACAACTCCTTTAATCCTGGTGAAATTTTGAATTCTTGTCAAAGAAGAGGAGGTGACCGAGTTCAAGGCTGACAGGAGAGCTCGGCTGATGACAACTCCTTTAATCCTGGTGAAATTTTGAATTCTTGTCAAAGAAGCTACTTATAGTCAATTCAGTCTTCTCTTGCACTACCTATATGTGGTTGTGTGATGCATACGTCTGATGCCTCTCTGTGAACAGCAGTTTAGTCGCTATCTGTGTGTGTTTCGTAGTAATGGACTAGTCAGTGCCACTTGGTAGCACAAAAATGACCCTTAGCATTCTACTGGTGATGTTTCATATACGCAAGTGTTTTTGCCTTGCTCCTGATTTTGTTCAGGGACAGCAAAAGCTCATTAGGTGGCACTTCACTGATGAAAATAGTACGAAATTACCAGAATTTCAAGACAGCTTTACCATTGGTGTATTATTTTTTTGATGACATAACATTATATCTGTTTCCAACTACTGCCTACTGGTTTTTGTTTGTGTAACCGCACAAGCCTGCCACTTATACGGTTTCTTTGACTCTAGCAAAGTTATTCTGGTCTTGGGAGAGTGCGCTAACATTTGCTTGTTGGAACTGGAAGGAGAAAGTAGTTAGAGGCGCACCTGGAGTTTTAAACTTGTGGGATGAGCAGCTCAAATACTGATGACAAGGTGATAAGTGATCTATAAGTGAAGAAGAAGAGACAACGCACCACTGAGGCTATTTAGAAATGAAAGTTGATGTTTCATGTGGGCGGGGCACTGCCTATGTTGCGAGCGAGTCGCCCCTTATTCACTTATTTTTGAACTTGCGAACAGGACTTTCTTGTCCAAACAAGGGTTCTGAAACTCAGATGAACATGAGCGCACCTTCAAGTTACTACTCCCTTCAGGTTTTCAATAATTTAGTGTTATATTGTGCCTCACGAGGTTTTTAGGTGGAACTATTTATTCAACGGCCTGACGTTTCGACTAATCGTCTTCTTCAGAGGCCTAAAAGTGTTTCGAGGTTAAGAAGAAAGAGAGAGGCTTTAGAATACTCCCTTCTAGGCTTTTTTGGAACTTTCAGTCCGTTGCAAGCTGTAATTGTAGAATGGACCACTCGCCTGCTAGCTTCAATACCTTCGAATTCATTTGCTTTCAATTCTTCCTCATCATCTCCTTGGACTTGTACGATCAACTGTTCCTTTCTGGCTTCGCATGGTCATCTCCGCTTGGCAAACTTTTACCATAGGGTTTCGGGCAGCCCAATCAAGTGCCAGAATGATATGTGCCCCCCCCAATTACATATTGTGGAGAGCGGCGTTCAAATACAAACCTGCAGTCGCCAAGTAACTCTCTAATTAAGAAGAAAACGAAAAATCATGGAGAACACCCCAGCTAAGAACATCTGGTAGTCTCCCTGCACAAGTTTTCGGGCCTGCTCGTTTCAGGCCAACAAAGCGATATCTTGCCGCCTCTGGTTCACTAATCGTTTGCTCGCGTCATCCGGTGCTAACACATATAATAGTGAAAAAAACAAAAAACGTGGTGTAAAAATTGAACTCGTGACGGAAAATCGAGGTGTTAGAACTGTCACTTATGAAGGGCCGCAGCGCTTTGTTACTTATTGTGAAGCATACATAACCAAACAGAGATACTAAAACCTGATCCAAATGATTGTCAGTGTGCTTGGAAACAGATTGACCTTGAAGTGATATTCCAATGTTTTTCAGCGAATCTAATGCATATTTTTGTAATGCTGTCATTTTTCTGTAAGTTGTTCACATAGCTATCATATTTATTGCTCTTCATAATCATTTTTCTTTCTTCGTCTCCGTTGCGTTGAGTGTATGTCGCCCTGCAATAGCAGAAGATCTTCATATGGAATTTTTGATTTTTATCATCATTTATTACTTGTATTTTTTGAGAAATTGTTCAAGAGCTGAATAAATACTGCATATATTTTCTGGCTACTTTCATTTCAAGAAACGGGCTCTCCCTCAGCTACTGTTTGTTAGGATTTTGTCTTATTCTTCCAGTTTTGTTTAATAACATTGGAAGTCGAACTGTTCAATCTCTGGTTCAGTGCTGGTATGCGCACTGTTCCTCGATTAGGCGCTAGCAGGAAAAGTGCTATGTCATGCACAGTTTGATAGTGGCATTGTCGCGATGAAAGACGTAATGCATCAACCGCGCGGTTGCGTCGTGTTGCTGAGCGTTTCTTTTTCCTCTGTTACAAAGCATCTGCCAACTAGAATTTTTCCCTCAGACAGTTGGAGGCTGACTGAGGTTTTGAAGGGAGAAAAAAAGGAACAGGGAGGGAAAGTGGAGGGTAGGAATCTGGAGTGTAGCTCACGACTAAATGGAGTGCAGTAATGTGACCACCCACCGACCACCATATGATCGCCTAGCATACGGTACAGTACCGTGCTGCTGATCTCGCCTTGACCCCCACCCCCACTCTACGCTGCCGATTGATTGTCATTTTTTTGTTCTTTTATTTGCTCGCATTGTACAATTTCGTTCGGTTGATTGAAATTCGCATAAAAGTTCTCTATTAAGGTTTTTTTGGCACAGTCCTTCGTCCAAGCTTCATCTTACTAGTGGATTCCCGGTGTAACCGGTCGATACCACAAGGGGGGCAGAGGGTCACTCACTACCCCGTAGCAACTATAAGGCGCTATTTGCTGCTGGGGAAATTCTGAAAAAGACCTCTCCCGGAATTTCGTTCTCTCGTACGACTCCGCTCCTCCTCCCCATCCTACCTATCATCTTACTGTGACTTTTCTCTGTTCCAGTTTTTTCCCCAGTAAACTGCCGTAGAGTGCGAAGGGGGGGGGGACTGCCAACGATGTAGTTGGCGCCCGTAAAACAGAAAAAATCAACCATTGAAAAACATTTTCTCGGGCCAAGTACAGGTATTCCCTAACTTACGACCTACCCTGAGGGCAGTAGCATGCGGCGGAACAGCATCCTATCACCCTAGTCTCACTCGGGAGAGACAAGTATACAGCTCCTGGGGGTATAATTGCTGAAAAGCGAAGTGTCGCTTCGGTACCTGTCATGAGACACCCAAAAGGTGCATTTTTTGGTTTCGGAGAATGGTCAGTCATTGGGGTTCTTTCTGTCAATTCGCATGTTTGGGTAAAAGCGGGTGTTTGTTCTATTTATCGCTGGGAAAACTCTGAGTACATAATAACTCTTGTCTAGTACATATGTTTTATTAAGGACAAAATGTATAGAGGGCGGTATCCGCTTTAGGAGTTGAGGAACATCTGTGCATACTCTTTTCGGTCAATAAAAAGGACATGCGATGAACAATATGTTATGCCACGTTGATGCACGAATAAGGCCAATTTCATTTTTTATTCCAATGTACGAGCAGTTAATTGCAGTCATGAGCTCTCCCAATTCGATTCAGCCAGGGTCAGGCGTGTAATTCGCTGCGTGGGGGTCTTATGTGTCCTGCTTGTAAGGGTAGGAGATTATGCCTGGAGGTACCACTAGTGGGCCCAGCTGTGGCAACGTTCGTTCAACCTGCTACTATCGCTTTTGTGCCTCGCCATGGAGAATGGTGTCTCCGCCGAGTTGGTCGCAAGGGAATTTATGGCGAAATTATGAAGCATAAATTGGTCTATCGTAATGATAAGTTGTACAAACAGAAGAGTAATGTATGTGGCCAATAGCTATCAGAGAGTTGTTTCATCAGGTCCGATTCTACGGTATGCCTTGAGTGGAACTCGAGTATGCGGCGCATTACTTCAAAAGGTTGAAAGACATCCCTTTGGATTCTTATTTGCTACAAGTGGAGATACTAGTGGAAGGTTTCCGAGGTTTAGGATGGAAATGTGAGCAGTATAATGGGAAAACACTGTTGTTGGAGCTTGAAATAAACTCCCAGAATTTGCGACGGGCGACTTTCGCTAAGGTACACTTATGGGGAACTGTTTGTAATTATTGAAGCAGCGGCAAATCAATTAGTTTGGGGTTTTTTTTGCTTCCACAACACCCGTACGATTCCTCATCCTACAGTTCTTAACCTCCACTTTACCGGAATTGTGCAAGAAAAAATCACTATTTTTACTCTCGCAAACTTGCATGTCGAGGGCGGGGGGGGCAAGAGTACGGGATGAAATCAGGAAAACAACGGGAACAACTGAGGGCGCCATCTCTCAGTGCTGCAGTAATACGTTTCCGACTTCCCAGGTGACGAAGAATCAATGAACCGCGTCGGGGGCAGGCCCTTAGGGACAACGTCCAGAAACAAGAAAAATCAACTATCAAAAAAATTTCTCAGCCCAGTTACGATCCCCCTCTCCCAGCGTCCAAACACGACCCGCTGTTGGGGAACCCCCAACAAGGATGTGCCCTGTTGGGAAAAGGGAAACCTCCTAGTTCCACAGGCTGTTCTATTTGATCCCTAGTTTTGGTCTTTGCTTCGCAATAGTTCGGTAGGAAGCGTGCATTGAAAGGTCAAAAACTCGCTTCTGCCCAATTATTTTTACACATTGCTTTTGGGCGGAAGCCGCTATTCAAAATACTCCACCCTTTTGAGGTTAAGGGGAGTTTTGACATCCTCCCCAGCAATTACGATTCCCTCCTACCGCTTCCAAAAGATCTTTTGTGGATGGAGTTCCACGCTTTTTGGAAGCGAGCTAAGTCACTACGTTTGCTAGTCTCAGCAGGAAAGGTACTGTAACTTGAATTGCAAAACCGCTCCTCGTAGCGTTAGCGTAAAAATGAGAATGTGCTAGCGGATGTAGATGGTGCAGTCACAAGTC